GGCCTTTGTAATTTACACTGATGGAGGCAAATCAAACACTGCAGAGAAGCACTAAAACATAGCAGCTTAACAAAAACCTTACCAGCGACTTTTCCGAAGCCCGTGGCAGTACTACCACTCTGAGTCAGGCCTTTAATTGAAGCAGACTGATGATGATCTATTAGGAGGTTTAATAAGTAATGACAGTATAAATAGTATCTTGTTAAGCAGTTAGTCCACTGCGGTCCTTTACAACCTCATTAATACACAACTTAATGGCAATTAACCAGACACTGGAGCCAATATCCCACCTACCGCTTCAATCAGCAGCCCCGTGTGTGTTTTCCTGTGCGGCCATCTATGCGAACAGTGTGTGTCTAATTTTATTTATGCTGTTCTTCAATATTTTTTTTTTTAAATCACAAAATTACTGCAACATATACAGCCGAAAGCTCGTTTTCATCTGTGTACTGTGAAGGCTGTCATTACAAATTGCATCACATTGGCAATTAAATTACATCACATTGGTATAATGGAAAACAGACATTTTGAAATACTGTGTAATATAGCACGTTGTTACTGTGACTGTGCGTGTGTGTGTGTGCCGCCTCCTACTCAACATATTTCCCTTTCCACCACAGCAGTACTGCCACCGCGCTAATTTTACTTGTGACATCTGAAAAACTAACAGCGCCGAGGGCAGAACTGCTGGTAGGTTTGTCTTCAAAATAACTGACTCCCTCTCTCTACACAAACACAATTCACAAATAAACATATACTGTATATAGAGCTGCTAACACATTCACATAGGTATATGTAACCCCAGAGTCACATACACCCACACTTTTGCCCACCATCACACACACTTTGCTAACACTGAGCCAATGTCCCAATCTCAGAGTTGTACAGTTTTATATACTCACTATTACACACACACACACACACACACACACACAGTGGCAGAGCACAGCAGGAAATATGGTGTGAACTGACAGCCATTCAAAATAATCCTCCACTCAGCTGTTAGACACCCCTACTCAGCTGAGTAGGGGTGTCAAAGTGTACCACCTCACAAAATGTGGTGGGACACGTGTGCTGTCGTTGTGTGTATATGTGCGTGTGTGAGTGAGAGAGAGATTAAATAGGTGTGTCTACTTGTGCATTTGGTTCTTTTGATGAGTTTGTGCTCATTATTTAACTTTTATTTGAACATATCTTAATTTTAACACCCCTGAGCACCTATTGTATGGGAGACCTTGGAGCGATGCAATGTCTGCAGTGCTGTTTTGTTCTGTCCTCCACACAGCTTCATATCATTTTGCCTTCCCGGTTTTGCTGACTTGCTCAGATTTTGTTCATTTGGTAATTTTTCCTTGAGTTTTTTGCTTCTACCATGGCTAAGTAGGAAATGTAGTTAAATGGTGGTCCTTTTTTCGACTTTTCCACAATCACAAGTCTGCACACTGTTTTATTTTAGAACAGATGCATATTCTCCGTGGAGCAGAGAGTCGTTTCTTGTGGAATCACAAGCACTGTCTAGAATGGCTGCGATAAGGTCCGGCAGCATTGCTGGAACGCGACACAGCTGTGCCCGGTGAATTCAAGCCGTTAGACAACAGCATTCTCCACCAACATCATCGAAATACCAAAAAGAGATTTGAAGAATCTCCGCCAAGGCATACTGACGTTGAACTGGATGCTCTAGGTGGAACAACACCTTACTGAGACATGATGCTGTTTTGTTCCTTTAATTTGTCATTGATTTTTATTTACAATTGTGAGTGCGTTCATCCAGAAGTGTGTGTATAGGAGTAATATGTTATGTGCATGCGTGTGTGGCAGGTATACACATATTCAGTGGGGCTGTGTGCTAATCTGCTGGACATTTTTAAGTATACTCATGCATCTGCTTTCCACTAGACAGTGGGTGCATGTGTGCGTCTGTGCAGGTTACATCCACACGCCCCACATGAGGCAGCTGCACCACTCCATCACTGTGGCCAGATAACCAAACGGGCTGCAGCGCAGTTGGAGGTTAGCATCATGGCCGTGTGTTAATTAAAAGCCCCGCTTGGTGCACGGCAGCCAAAATTATCATGGGCATCCTTCAATTAGAAACCTGATAACCTCCAGTCAACAGATGCAGCTGGAGCCCACGCTGCACTGGCCAGGGGAAGCTAGTGGCTAACAGCTAATTATAAAGCAGACAGAGCGGCCTTCAGCATGTGGCTCAGTCAGGTCTGAAAAACAGCCTGTTAAACCTGCTGTAAAATACTTAATACATGCAGACCTGTGACCACATAACAGTTAAACCTGTACAAGGTCACTTCAACCTGTAGTGGCCCCGCTGCAGTAAAACAGTTTTTTAGGTTTTAATCACTACATTATCTAGAAGTCATCTCCATAGATCAAAATTTTAAAATAGCTTATAAAATGAAAAGGGTTAGGACTTTTCTCACCATGACAGCATACAGCTTTATTTTGAGAATTTCTTTTCCAAAAGCAAAAACCATGTCTGAACTTAACTGTTAGAAACAGATTCCTTATTTTATTCCCCCTATTCTATCAGCGTAGTTTCTCCTACACACTTTACAGCCCCGTCTCATTCCCAGGTTGTCAAATGCAGACACCAGTGGTATTCAGTTCAGTTGCAATTTGCAACTTCACAGCTAGATGCCACTAAATCCTACACACTGGTCCTTTAAAATAAATTTGCAGCAAAAGTCATGTCCACTTGTGTACTCAACAGTTTGTTTTCTAGATCACTGATGTCTCTAATATTCTGTCTACACTGGCCTGACAGTGTCAGGGGGATGGCAAAACAAATACATTTGCTTGTTATTGCAAAATGCACACCACAAAATGCCAAGAATTAGTCATGTTGAACTGCCAAAAGCCAAAAAGAATGACATTTAAAATTAAATTAAAATTGCTAGCTGTCTTCTATGACTAAGTCTCCCTATTTTGTAGACAGTTATCAGCCATGAGAGCCAAATGTGCTTGTGTAACACTGTACCGCTGTTCAAAGACTGTTTATTATCAAATGATTTTCCAGCAGAAGCTGCCAGTGCTGGTAATGTGTTAGACCGGCCAGATGTTCCCATCATCATGCAGTGTATCTCTTCATGGCTGGCTGTCTGTCTCATCGACTGTATAAAAGATATATACAGCCCATGAGACAATCTTTATATACAGTTAAACTTTATATACATTCTATAGTCTGTCTAGGTGGTTGTCTCGGTCATGATTCTGGGTGGGAAATCTATCTGCAAATTTATCAAACTATTCATTCATCATTAAATATCAATGTATCAGTCAGCCTACTACATGTTGCATGTGCTTAACATTACTTCCAAAGCACATTAGGACAGATTTACTAAGAAAATGGCATACCACAAATGTGAGATGAGTGTTTTATTGTATTTACAGGCAAAATCTGTGTGTAAGCTTCTGATTTACTAAGGCAGCAGCTCATTACGCAGTCAGCTCATAGACTGCACTCGGGACCGATGTCCAGACACTTTCTGCAAGTGAAAGTGAGCTCATCTAGGCACAGATCAGCTGTGGGAAGCTCAGAAAACAATATGACGTAGTGTGATCTTCCAAAACATTTATTACACCCCAGTGCGACTGCACCCGAGTAAAACTATTCCTCATAAAATGATAGTACTAAAAATGTTATTATTGATATAAGAGTCAAACGAGTGTAGAAATGGAATACGCAACCGTTGGAGAGAAGGAAGGAGAAGCAGGTCCAGCAGCTGATGTCTCACTGGAATACTGAGGTTAATTACTTATCAGAAGAAAGAAGAGTGCAGTTGCATTTCCTACTTCTTTAAATACTATATTTTCTTTATTTTTATAATTCAGTGCCACTCTTTTAGGGCACACTTACTCTGTGTTGAGAATTTAATCCTTGAGGTTAATTCATGTTTCTTTTCCCAACATCTTTCTTGTGGCTAGTAAATCTCATCTGCGCTACATTTACACCAGAATTTTCAATATTGTCCTACTCCATCACAGTTAATGGCTGCTTGGGCTACCTATTAATATTTCTATTGCAGCTGTGTTTAAAAATGGTTCTTTTCTTTTAAAAAAAACTCTTAATGAGCAGAGAAGGGACGTCAGTGAGACAGGAAGAAAGTCAATATGGAGACTGAATATGAGAAATGCCCTGCGGGAGTTGACTGAAACCAGGCAGCTCACCGTACAACAGCAGCACAGGACTCACTTTTCTGACACTTTCAGGTTTCTTACTACTTCTCACACACAGATACACACACACACACAGACACACAGACACACAGACACACACACTCCCCCTCTCCCTCCCTGAATCTCTCTTTCCAACTTACTGTCGGTGGTGTCGGAGTCATTGCTGCTCGTGGAGTATTTTCTCCTCTTCTTTTCGCTCTCCATCTGTCAGGGGGATGGCAGCAAGGGAGGGAGGAAGGGGGGGCAAGAGACAGAGAAAGAGAGAGAGAGAGAGAGAAAGAGAGAGAGAAAAATGACGAGTGAGAAGATGTTCACCATGAAAACACAAGTGTTAATGAAATAATGCGCTGATGGCACCAATCTGTCAGAGCCTGCAGCAGGCAGCTTGCCAGAATAAACTGACTTGATCACCGTTACATATTAGCGTTTCAGACTCGCTGGGAACTTCACAATGATACAGTTGTTCGGTTTCTTTGCATACAGTGGGAGTCCTTGTACATGTCGACTGTTGAATTCATCCTGCATCAGTGCTGTATTCACTGGGAGCTATTGTGCCAGTCCCCTTTTATGCATCTGCTTTAATACTGTAGGTACTTTTGTCTTCAATAGAGCAAGCCCAAATGAACACATGGCCAAACAAAACACAAGCTTCTCTCAACCAAATAAAACTAGGACACTTTTTGAAGTCTGTTTCTTGGTAATAAAGGACGCTAAAAAGCAACCTCTATGATGAGGAAATCTCTATTTAACAGCCTAATTTAGCTCATTTGTCACCTTATCTTTCCAATTCTGAGATCCCTGTGAAAAATGGAAAAATTACGTTTGTGCTGCAATCCAGGTTTAAAAATAGGGGGGGGGTAAGAAAACCTAATCTGACCCTTTAAAGAAGGATCCAAATATACTGTATGTATATATGTAACAGTGCTTACATTTTTTATTTTCTGAATTTGTTTTCCAAAAGAATCCTGCAAGCACTTCTATTTTAGTTTTTTACTTTTTACGGCTCAAGTTGCAGAAAAGAAAATAGGGCTATGATGGTTCTAGGGACTTTTTTTTTTTTACTTGATGCATATAACGCCGTTTTCTGTTTTTCTAAAATTAGATGAAAAAAAGCATCGCAGTACTAGACCTTGCTTACACTATCGCAATATATTGAATCATAAGCCCAATATAGTGATACATAGCTATCACCAGATTCTTGCCAATACAAAGTCCTAATTCAAAAAGCATAAATTTCACTGGAAGCTATGTGCTAATATGTCAACTTTTCGGCAACAAAAATGGTCTCTTGTTAACCTTTGTATTAAGGAAGTAAGCATTAATAGAAATAAACACTATAGAATCTCAAATCTATAAAAGCATTCATTCTTTCAGCTTCCAAAAGGTACCCTGTCAAACTTTTAAGTGAAAATATGAAAATCAGATTGCTACAAATTTAACCAAACAGCAACATCATCACACAATATTTCAGTCAAAAAGTATCTGCTGAATGGATTCTCTCAACTGAAATGAATGAGCCTCCATCAGAGAGAAACTGTGTGAAAGTGTGTTTAAGAAGTGGTGTCTGTGGGAAAAATATTTCATTAATTATTTCAACAGTGATATGTGTGTTTCTGTGGAAAAAAACACCTCTTGTTGTGTTAAATCTAAAAGTATTGCCCAGAGAATGCAATTTTTCACTTCAATTCACAAGTAAGAACAGTCAAAAAACACTTTTATTGTTCTACTGAGTATGAGTCTCAATTCAGAGCACGAGGACAGAGGAAGATGTGAGATGAGAGGACTTGCCACATTCACCCATTCACACACTGATGCAAAGCATCAGGAGCAATTTGGGAACCAGCATCTTACTCAAGGACACTTTGACATGCAGCGGGAGGTAAGGCTGCTCAATTAATCCAAATGTGATCATGATTACAATTTTGGGGCCAAACGATCTCAAAACTAATTAATTTTCTGTTGTGCAACGTTGTATACAGTCTGCGTATTTCGCGCATGCGTATTTCCGTCCCTCCCCCACAGCATGCACTGCACCGGTTCGATCCCCGGCTCCTCCCGCCAGCTAGTACTGCTCGATTATGGAAAAAATCATAATCACGATTATTTTGAGTCAAAATTGAAATCGACGATATATTCAAACAATTATTTTTTTAAAACTTCAGAAACATTGCTGCATTTATTGGACATTTTGTCAAAAAACCATCTTGTGCAAGGCAAGTCCTCCGTTACACTTCCTTTTCCCCATAAACATTTGTAAGTCTCCTCGTTACCTGTTCAAACGAAAATCACGTAACAGGAAAAGACTCAACTGAGTGTCGGTGACCACCATCGCAAGTAATAAATAGTTACGGTGCTCCCTGTGACTTCACATTTGTGCGCGCGACAGGTCGGGGGAACTGCGATTATACCGAGCGCATGATC